TCGAGGTCTTGTCCCAACCTGGCTGAGTCTGCTTGTGTGCTATGCCAGGCCTCTCCTGTACTGGCAGTAGCACCCAACTTCGTGTCATCTGCAAATGTGCCAAGTCAGTAATGCAAATGTTAAGGAAGATGGGTCCCACGACCGATCCCTGAGGAACTCTAGTAGTAATCACCCTCTTCTCAGACAGTTCACCGTTCAGTGTGACCTCTTGTGCTGTCCCCTTGACCGGTTCCTTATTTGGGATCCTGGGGGGCAGATGTAAAGCCCCAGTCACTGGAGGCCTGGGACTGGGTGGGGCTCTCGGGTTTCATTTTTTAACCATGAGTATGTTTCTATCCCTCGTGGATGCCCAGAATGGTGCAAATGTGAAGCAAGAGCCTCCTACAGGTTGAGAAACCAACAGATGAATTAAAATCTTATTAATATTTCTGAAAGTTTGTTTGTTTGTCCCAAAAGATCTCCACAATGGTAAGAGCTAGAAACACCAAATTTGGCACGGATACTACTGGTTTCCTAACTTAAATAACTGGATTGGTTATATCTCAAAATCAGTCCCCCCGGTTTCCCTAGAGCCCCAATTGGGCCCACTGATAATTAGCTTTTAGTAGCGCCTGATCATAGGCATTTGCTGGACTCTTCTGTTAGCGCGTCACATAAACTGCAACTTCGAGATCCTAGAGGGTAAAGCATGTGGGCACCTGCAGCACCATCCAGGGAAAGCCCATGGGGGAGAGGCTGCAGTGGGGCTGAGAATCAGCAACCTCCCCTATTAGTATAGGGCACCAGCAGGTCTCCAGGACAGACCCAAATGTGGCTGATGCTGGCTGGGGTTGGGAGAAGCCTCCAGCTCTCACAGCCTCTCAACATCTTCACGCAGCCGGGCTCCGACTGAACCCCTTCTGGAAATGAAAGTTGCTTCCCTCCCCCCACACCCAAATGAGCCATCCCACCACTCGCCCTCCTGTGGGCTGCGTGTGTTCTCCCGGCAGGGCTGTGTGCATTAGCAGCAAGGGCCACGGGCATTATGCACTTTGCAGGATTCAGCTCAGAGTACGAAGAGGAGGTGGGTAGGAGGACAAGGTTTTGAGCCTGAGGAGGACACGGTACTCTCAGAACAGCCTATTCTCATTAGAACAGGTACGTGCAGGTGCTGCATGTTCTCATCCTCTAGGTATCACTCATTGCACCTGGTCTGAGGGTGTTTCACTTTGTCTGATCAATGCAGCCGGTCCAGCTGCCACTAGGAAGTCCATTCAGGTTGCCCCATGGAGCGTGCACTGAAGGCACTTGGGGGACATCCCCTCCATTTCTCAGGGCTTCTGGCAAGGAGGCTGCAGGCATCGGTTTGCACAGTCTTTAAGGGAAGATGGGCCTTCCTGATTCGTGGGGATTGAGAAAAGATAGCTTGTGGATTTGTCATTTTGTAAGCACATCACTAGCTGTGTTAATGTCTTAAAGCAATATAGAAGAGAAAAGTATTTCCAATACAATATGCTGAGTTAACGTAATTGACGTAGTTCATTCATCACACCTTTTACTATATTTTCCCTGGGCGACGCCGGGTATTTCTGCTAGTAATGTAATAAAGAGAAATCTCATGACGTACAAGCTAACCTCATGATTTTGGAGGGTCCAACCATGACATTTTAATATTTTGGTTTGGCAAACTCTGCCAATAGATGGCATCTTAAGCCCTGAAGCATTTCACTAGCATGAACTATTCAATTGCTGGATTTTCTTGTTAGCGCTGTAAGTGTTCAGTCCTGCTGGGAACCCTGCCAGAGTGATAGCTTGTGATCCATTGTGTCCACATGCAGTTCACAGGAGGATGGAACAGGAAGGGATGCCGAGTACAGAGAACTCCGTCATGTTCTCATTCAGAAACTTCTCTAGCTTGCCTTTGATCAGTGTTAATTGCCACTTGCCATGTCATTGAATGCTACCTGGGCCTTTTCATAGCCTGGGCACTGGCCAGTCATTGGTCATGGAAGGTGAGTCACGCGCTACGGAAGCAGAAGAGACATGGGAGCAAAGGCAAGTCTCTTAGCTGAGTCTGAAAAGCTCAACTCCTGGATAGTGGGTGAGTTTGGCTTTTTCTTTTCCTTTACAGTACAGTCATTTCATGTCTTGATCTCCACTCCTTTAAAGTAAAGACCAGCCCTGCAGTGTGCAAGAGTGGGCACTTGGCTGGGAGCCAGGAGATATGCACTTTGTTCCTGGCTCTGCCACTGACCAGCTGTGTCACCTTGGGCAAGTCCCTTCTCTGTCATCAGTTTAGATGATAAGCTCTTCAGGACAGGGACTCTCTTACTGTGTCCAGCATGAGGGGGCCCTGCTCTCCTCTGGGACCTTTCGATAACACTGTGCTAGAAACACATCAGTGTAGCGAGATGGCTCATGCAAGGAGACTTTGGAAGGGAATTGATCAGTAGGGTAGCTTGGACATTCAGAGCTATGTCAAGGGAACTTGACAGAGCAAACTCTATTCTGTGGCCGTTGACCTTAGAAACCCCCCTTGTCCCCATGCCTGTTTGTGAGGCTGCTCTCCCCATTCAGGGCCGGTGCGGCTGCCGTCCAATGCGGCTTGGCTGAGGGCGAGGAAGCCGAGACATTTGTAAACAGCTTCGTGGGCTTTGACACGATGCTCGCGACAGTGCAGTGTTTTCATCTGGCCAGTATTGCTTTGGCAAGGCCCCATTCTCGCAGAATCCACAGCTGAACGTTCCCCTGGTCTAATTCCTGAAATCTCCCCATTCTTGCTGGTGTTGGAAATGCTCAGTGTATTCAAATAAAGGGCTTGGGTAAGAACAACTGTAGACAAGCCTCCCGTTATTCCTGTGGATTCTGGAGCTACTGTAAATGTCATGCTAACAATCCACAGGCTCTGTGTTGGAAGCCAACGACATGCATACCGTATGCGATTGCTCTTTTCAGTTACTGGATTTTGGGGAGGGCATTGGGGTCAGGCACCAGATGAGATCAGAGAAAATGCAGCAACCTCCATTGTGTAGTTGCGCCTCCAATCCTTTCCCTCACTCCGTGCAAAAAAATATGGTTATTTTTGAAGGGTTAGTATCTTGGGAGGCCCCGGGTCACATGACTTAATCTGCCCCCTCCTCCAAACTCTGCTTCAGACCCTCAAAGAGCACAGCGATTTTCAAGTCCCTCTGAGGATGCATGTGGATTTGAGAGCTCTTTGGACGTTCAGATTCCTGGATAAACGGTTTTAACCTGAGCTGCCCATCAGAGGCGTCCCAGTAATAAAGTGGTGTCTGGACCTTTCGCTTTTGCGCTTTCCCTGGAAACCGCCAACTGGCTTCGGAGATGAGTCTTGGTGATGTATGCACTGGGCGGGGTGTGTGTGTGTCTGAGTGTGGCTTGCCTAGTCTTGGTGATGTATGCACTGGGTGGGGTTCCCACGTGTGTGTGTGTCTCTGAGTGTGGCTTGCCTAGTCTTGGTGATGTATGCACTGGGCGGGGTGTGTGTGTGTCTGAGTGTGGCTTGCCTAGTCTTGGTGATGTATGCACTGTGTGGGGTTCCCACGTGTGTGTGTGTCTGAGTGTGGCTTGCCTAGTCTTGGTGATGTATGCACTGGGTGGGGTTCCCACGTGTGTGTGTGTCTCTGAGTGTGGCTTGCCTAGTCTTGGTGATGTATGCACTGGGTGGGGTTCCCACGTGTGTGTGTGTCTCTGAGTGTGGCTTGCCTAGTCTTGGTGATGTATGCACTGGGTGGGGTTCCCACGTGTGTGTGTGTCTCTGAGTGTGGCTTGCCTAGTCTTGGTGATGTATGCACTGGGTGGGGTTCCCACGTGTGTGTGTGAGTCCACACTGGCTCTCTGCAGCAGTTTATGGCTATATGCAAATGAGATGCAAAGCAGAGCAACGAAGACTGCGGGGCGCAGGAGCCGAGCTACGACCTCACCTCGTGGCTTTGCCGCGCGCTCTAGCCCCGAATCGCGCCGGCAGCGCCTTTTAACTGCGCACCCCG